ACTAGGGGCTCCTGGCGTCGCTACTACGAGCAAAGATGCTACTAGGGGCTCCTGGCCTTACTACTAGGAACAAGAAGCTACTAGGGGCTCCTGGCATCGCTACTACGAGCAAAGACGCTACTAGGGCCTCTAGGGGCTCCTGGCATCGCTACTAGGAGCACGGACGCTACTAGGGGCTCCTAGCCTTGCTACTAGGAAAAAGAAGCTACTAGGGGCTCCTGGCATCGCTACTACGAGCAAAGACGCTACTAGGGGCTCCTGGCCTTACTACCAGGAACAAGAAGCTACTAGGGGCTCCTGGCATCGCTACTACGAGCAAAGACGCTACTAGGGGCCCCTGGCCTTACTACTAGGAACAAAAAGCTACTAGGGGCTCCTGGCATCGCTACTACGAGCAAAGATGCTACTAGGGGCTCCTGGCCTTACTACTAGGAACAAGAAGCTACTAGGGGCTCGTGGCATCGCTACTACGAGCAAAGACGCTACTAGGGGCTCCTGGCCTTACTACTAGGAACAAGAAGCTACTAGGGGCTCCTGGCATCGCTACTACGAGCAAAGACGCTACTAGGGGCTCCTGGCCTCACTACTAGGAACAAGAAGCTACTAGGGGCTCCTGGCATCGCTACTACGAGCAAAGACGCTACTAGGGGCTCCTGGCCTTACTACTAGGAACAAGAAGCTACTAGCGGCTCCTGAGCTCCTGGCATCGCTACTAGGAGCAGGACGCTACTAGCTCCTGGCCTCAGCACTAGGAACAAGAAGCTACTAGGGGCTCCTGGCATCCTGGCCTTACTACTCGCTACTAGGAGCAAGGACGCTACCAGGGGCTCCTGGCCTTACTACTAGGAACACGAGGCTACTAGGAACAAGAAGCCACTAGGGGTTCCTTACTAAGAACTCGAAGCTACTAGGGGCTCCTGCCATCGCTACTAGGAGCAAGGACGCTACTAACTAGGGGCTCCTGGCCTTACTACTAGGAACAAGAAGCTACTAGGGGCTCCTGGCATCGCTACTAGGAGCACGGACGCTACTAGGGGCTCTAGGGGCTCCTGGCATCGCTACTAGGAGCACGGACGCTACTAGGGGCTCCTAGCCTTGCTACTAGGAAAAAGAAGCTACTAGGGGCTCCTGGCATCGCTACTATGAGCAAGGACGCTACTAGGGGCTCCTGGCCTTACTACTAGGAACAAG